TAGATGCTGAGTTCAATTTATCAATGTTATCAATACTATAAGATCCTTATACAGTCCACACATACAGATTTCATAATAAAATAATATAAAATCAATATAATTTTATCAGTTTTTAGGGGTACATGGGAACCGGTCAGAATCCCCGAAGCCAAGGGGTATAGAGGAACAAAAAAGTTGGGAATCCATGTAATAGAGCATTACCTCAAGTAGACTGATATAGATTCACAGGTATAAACTCGTGGTATGACACAACAGAACGATTTTATCAGCTGAAATACAAGAATGCTCAGAAAGTGTCTTAGGCAAAAATTTACCTCAGTGCTCAGAAAACAAGGATCTCAAAGTTTTTTTCAGCTTAATGCTATGTGAGATGCCCTAGCTGTTATCAACAGTCAATACTTACTATCCATTTTTTAAAATGTTGTACAACAACCTCATTTGTCCTAGCTATATTTTTCTAGTAATTATAGTCTGCTCCACTATATATCAAGTAGTGGTGTCAAAATCCACTAGCTTGACACCCAGGACTACCAAATGTAGAGTTCAGGCTACCGTGAATTCCATATGTACTCGCTTGAGACTAGTATGGTTTTGCTTGCATGAAATATATGCATTTGTGTAAGTCCAATTCCATATTTAATTATTAAAATTTGGAAAAATGCTATCTATTGTTGTTTTTTTCTTCAAATCTTTAAATTTCTGCAGTCACTGAAATTTTTTTAAGATCAGTTGCCTTTGTATTGATGATAGGCTAGTATTTGGTAGGTCTGATATAGCAACATGTATTTGGGACTCAATTACAGACATGCAAGTTAAAATATTGAATTATTAATATTGTTTTATTAATTTTATTTGACATTTAGTTTTGTATTTATAACAAACTCTATCTTACATTATTATTTTCTAATAATATATATAATAGTATATGTAGTTTTTAGTATAAAGTTTTATCAATGTGAGTGTTTAGTCATAACTCATTAGCCTTTTTCCTTGGTACAGCTGAAAAGAATAAGTTGTTCTGATTATGATTTTTTGACTTCTTCTCGTATGTAGTCTGAATAACCTGCTCAGAGGTTTTATGTTTTAGTGTATACTTAATTAATTTATAGTATTTTCACAAGGTCAGGGATAGGCAATCTGTCACATTTGCTGTAGGAAGTCATTTTTAGTTTTTTTTAAACTGTGGAATAATTCACTGCAATGAAATATATATATATATATATATATTTCAGTGTGTACTAATTTAATCATCATAGTGAGGGAAAAGAAAGTTTGACTGCTTATTGTTAGTCTGGGTTAGGACATTTCTTATGCTACAAGTACTTCACCAAAAGCACCCCAGTGGCACGTTGATATGTCTGCAGGCTTACAACACTATAAACTGGATTTTGATACCCATGATGGGCGAAGCACAGATAGCCCATTTTGTAGCTTTGTGCTACAAACAAACAAGCTTCACCAAAAATGATTACACTCCTGATAAATACTGTTTTGACCTAAGAGAGATCAGTTGATTATTGGAAGACATTACCTTATTGTCTCACAACTTGACATCTATCCATAGCTCAGAAAGTAAGTATTATAACTTTGGCATTCAGATTTTGCTGCTACCTTAACTGTTAATTTTTATGCAGATATCATACTATGCCATGTAGACTTCTAATCATGAACCACCATTTGATACCAATTAAGAGCCTCATATTGGAATCATGGAAAAACTTCAGAGCAGTTAAATCGGTTCTCTACATGCACTCCCTGATCTAACTTTTTAGAAGCTGCTTGATGTGTATTACATATGTCTTCTTCCTCATGAACTGAATCAAAATCATATAACACAATGTTCTCCATCTGAGTCATTTTGCTCATTTACCATAAATTCCTATTCCAATCAATTCTCAAGAGACTAATCAGTGACATAGTGTTTTGGCTTGTGTGTGTTTTCCTTGAACTTGCACTTATTATGTAATCACTACTTCTGGTAGTTTACTTTGATGGGCTGTTGAATCCCAATATACAGACCAATTAAGCTAGAGCTAGTGAGTAGTGCATGTGCATAAATGGGGTCAAAGTTACATTCAAAATTTAATTAAACTACTTTATTATCAATATATATCAATAAACTTGGCATAAAAGTTAGTTAATAAATCATATTTTTAATATTATATAAGATTTAATTCATTGATTCAAAAGGAAATATAATTGACAATTGCTCAATACTCATTCTGTGCTATACATTGTTGAATTTATATTTTATTAGTTATACCATACAATATAAACATTGCTTAATTAACTAAAAACTCAAACTTCACATACTGGCAAGTTAGAATAAAAAAAGTAAGAACCTCCAATACTCTTGATTTGTTAAGATATCAATATATTTAGCAAACCTACCAGAGAAGCTTCCCATCCCTTCATTCATTTGGAGCCACTTATTTATTCATGCCTACCTATCTTAAGTACATGCTTATAACCAATAGAAATAACATGTTCTGAACCATGTACGTGATGGTTGTTTGTCAATTTTTTGATTAGGAAAGCTGAAAGGAAATGTTGAAGTATATTTACTAAAATCATTGCTCCAAACAGAAATTAATTTGTTAAAGCTATTTATACACTAACTATAAAACCAGGTAAATTATAATAGTTTTGTGATCTCCTATTCTAGTGAGTCATCTCAAGTGCAAGTAGATTTTTTAACAGTATAAGTACTAGAAGTCATGTTATATGTTTGAAAAATTACTAAAG